TGGGCCAGGACTAGTCTAAGGTTCAATTATCCTCACTTTACAGCTGAGGAAAGAGAAGCCTAGAGAGGTTAGGTATTGACTTATAAAAATATACAGGTGTTATGATTGATAATAAATATATACTTGGTCTTTATCCCTGTTTCTGTCACAGGGCTCCTAAAACTCTTGGAATTTCCTAAGAGATCACAGTGACAAAAATTGTCTTTTGTTATGTCAATGAGATGTCTTTAGGAAAGTACCTAAGAATAGGGGCTGGTTGCCAGGAGAACCAAACACTTCATTAGAGGGTTGGAACTTTCAGTCCCACACCCCTGACCTCCTGGGAGGGGAGAGGGGCTAGAGGTTGAGTTCAAACACCAATAGCCAAAGATTTAATCAGTTATAATACCTATGCAAAGAAGCCTCCATTAATAATCCAAAGGATGGAGTTTGGAGAACTTCCAGGTTGGTAAGCACATGGAGATCCCTGGAGAGCAGTATGCTCAGAACCTGGAAGCTCACACACACACACACACACACACACACTCCACACACATACCCCGCCCCCCATACCCTGCCCTATGCATCTCCTCCATCTGGCCATTCGTTCCTGAGTTCATACCTTTTTTATTTTTTAAATATATATTTTTATTGATTGCAGAGAGGAAGGGAAAGGGAGAGAGATAGAAACAACAATGAGAGAGAATCATTGATCGGCATGACCCCCACTGGGGACCCACCCAGCCCACAACTGGGGCATGTGCCCTTGACCGGAATCGAACCCGGGACCCTCCAGTCCACAGGCCAACGCTGTATCTACTGAGCCAAACTAGCTAGGGCTTGAGTTCATATCTTTTAATACTAAACTGGTAATCTAATAAGTAAAATGCTTTTCTGAGTTCTATGAGCCACTCTAGCAAATTAAATGAACCTTAGGAGGGGGTCGTGGTAACCTCCAATCTGTAGCTGGTCTATCAGACAACCTGGACTTACAATTGGTAGCTGAAGTGGGGGAAAGGCGGTCTTGTAGGACTGAGCCTTAACCTGTGGGATCTGATGCTATCTCCAGGTAGACAGTGTCAGAATTGAGTCAAATTGTAGGATACCCAGCTGGTGTCTGAGAATTGTTTGCTGGTGTGGGAGAAAAACCCCCAGAGTGGAACTGGGTGCAGAACTGTAGGAATCCTGCACCATGCCACAGCTGGTAAATGCAGAGCAGGCTCTGATCCCAGCTAGCTTTAGACTACAGCTGGGATCTAGGCTCTAGCTCTAGAGTCTACTCTTACCCACTACATTATGCTGCCTTCTGTACATAAAAAGGAAAGTTCATTTAGCTCAAACCTGGAAAACTTTAAGGACAGATTCTTGGATCACATCTACAGAAACTGACCACATCTATCACCATAGAGCTGGGCTGAGCCTAGAATTACATTTTTTGCAAAGAGATTTCCCAAGTTGCCCTGATGAGCAGCCATCGTGTGCTGGAGAGGCAACCAATTGATGTCTCTCTCACACACATCAATGCTTCTCTCTGTGTGTCTCTCCCCTTCCCTTCCACTCTGTCTAAAAAAATCAATGGAAAAAATATCCTCGGATGAGGATTTAAAAAAAAAAACAACACACAAAAAAAAGGCCCCTGCCCTCACCTAACCTATAATCCAGTTGGGAGAGATTAGATCATCCTCTGAAAAGGCAGGTAACAGTTAAACAGAAAACCATCAGAACTGTCAGGCACATGATAGTAAGTGCTGCAGACATTCAAAGGAAGAAGAAATTGCTGGGGTGTAGGTTGAGCTAAAAAGACTTTCAATGAGAAATTTAAACTGGTTCTTGAGATATGACTATGTTCTTTAAGATGGGCTGACTTGGAACCAATCAGTGTTCCAGGTAAAACTGACATCTACATACAATAGTATTTTTTATTATGTCTCCACTGTTCCTCTTGCAAGTGCCAAGTAATAGGCTGGCCAACTCTGCCCACTATAGTATGTTGAGCCACGGTCCTAAGGGTGCCACATGCCATAATTCCAGTAGTATTTGGTTACAAAAACTTAAATTAAATCAATATTATTGTTATGCGAAAATAGAGACTTATGCAGCTAAAAACAGAGTAATGGCTTCTTTACAATAGAGGAGAATACTATATGAGCATGTAACCTGACTTTCCCAACAAATTATTCAGACCAAATGGATTCTCTGATCCTCATCTCAACCCTGTCTTAGGTGGATAAATGTAAACTACCTGGGTAAAAGTTAAACTTGTTTACTTCTGCGTTCTTGCAGAGTCCTATGATCTCTAAGTGTCCCTGTCCATGTTGACTCTCAGGACTCAAGGTGACTGAGCACAGTCACAGCGCCTGGATGATGGCCTTGGGCCACACGGCACTCTGAATGAATTCAAGGAAGCAAGTGCTTAGGTACACATCCTGAAGACAACTCTGATCCCTGGCTAGCTTGTCACTACTCACTGGGCTTTTTCAGAAGGAGGGGATGACAGGCAAAGAAGGAGGGACCCAGAAGCTGATCCAAGGCCAGTTGGAATAAGGGCCAAGAGGAAGAAAGTCCAAGCACAGATATTTAAATAGACAGCCCTGACCCATGTGGGAAGCAGTTTAATAAATCAACCTGACATAGTGCATTTCCAAAACTCAGATGCTAGCCAATTTATTTCTGTCTGAAGGGCATTTCTGAATTTTCCTCTTAAAGATGGCATTCGCACGAGTCAGAAATATCAAGTTCAAATCCATATCCTGTTAAGATTCTGCTTATGCTGTTGTGAGAATTTAGACATTTTTTAGCTTTCGGCTTCAGTTTCTTCATCTACAAAGAGAGCCAGTCGGACTAGATAATCCCTAGTCCAGTAAACATGATTTTTAAAGTGGGGACATCACAACTCTGAGAAAATCAAGAACAAGCACCATAGAATCCGAACAGAGTGACTGGGCCCGGTGAGCCTCTAACAGTGGTTCTCAACCTTCCTAATGCCACGACCCTTTAATACAGTTCCTCATGTTGTGGTGACCCCCAATTTCATTGTTACAAATTGAACATAATTAAAGCATAGTGATTAATCACAAAAAAATATGTAATTATATATGTGTTTTCCAATGGTGTTAGGCGACCCCTGTGAAAGGGTCATTTGACCCCTAAAGGGGTCGCGACCCACAGGTTGAGAACCGCTGCTCTAGAAGGTAGTCATCAGAAAGTTCCCAAAAAGAAAATTGGGATAAATCCAGAATTATTCCATGGGAATATTTCTTATAGCTCTCCCTCTTCTGGGTTCTGCCTTACAGTCATACATAGATCTGTATAATCTTCCCAGAAGAGCTAAGAGTGATGATTCATAGAATGGGCATACCCATATAGCTATCTTCCCATACTTTCTACCTGGGAGGGTGGGAGATGGGAGTGGTGGTGTGTGACTCAGCCTTAACTACCTAGAGAAATGAAAGATTCCAAGACTTTCAGACCCTGGCCTCAGTAACTCAGCCAACCCGCTAAATATTTTGAAGTCTGAAACTTCTTTAATATACAGCCTAAAAACCTGAGTGATGTTTTATAGTCTCTACTTCAGTTTTATAGTGCTGAACGTTTGAGGAATACACAATATGTTTTAAGGCTCTCAGATACAATATTATTCCATTATAAAATCTTAACTAGAGTTTAAGTTGTTACTAAATAGTCAAATGGCATTGTAGAAAATTTAACCCAGAAAAATCTATAGTGGTTTCTAGAGCAGTGCATTCATCTGATATTCCCACACATCTTTGATATTTTACTTCTCCTAACTCAAAGTCCCTTGTTCACTAAATTTTCTTTTGTTATAAATCTAATTAAAGCCAGATTAAGGTTAAATTGCTTTGAAAATGGGTTTCATAAATGTGACTCAGAGTTTAAAACATCAATTACTCAAACTACAATAATCTTTGGCTTTATTCTTTGGCAGTCTTAGAATCACAGAATGTTTAACATCTGTATGGTAGCTGGCACATAGTAGGAATTCACTTACTCTTTCTAAGTTTCTCACCATTAACAGCTACCATTTAATCAGCAAGTAAACAGGTCCGTCAGGAATTATACACTTTGCATGTTATCTCTTAATCCTCACAACAACCCTAATTAAGCAGTAATATCTCCATTTTACAGATAAAGAAACTAAGGTTCAAAGTAATACAACAGCTGCTAAATGGCTGAGAGCGAATTTGAGCTCAGGTCTCACCAGAAATACTCCCACTAAGCTTGTCCAGAGAGTGCAAAGTTTAGGAAGCTGGACAGTGGGGTCTAGACCTCACCAGCTGTTATTTACACCCACATCCTTTACTGACAAAGATGACAACAGATGTGGGTATGGCCTGTGTGTGCTGGTTACCCTGAGAGGGCAATGCTGCACCTGAAGCTGAAATACTTGACCAAAAGAAGTAGGGCAGGGAGTGGCATCTGACATACACCACAGCCCCCTAGAGCAGTGGTTCTCAACCTTCTGGCCCTTTAAATACAGTTCCTCATGTTGTGACCCAACCATAAAATTGTTTTTGTTGCTACTTCGTAACTGTAATGTTGCTACTGTTATGAATCGTAATGTAAATATCTGATATGCAGGATGGTCTTAGGCGACCCCTGTGAAAGGGTCGTTCGACCGCCAAAGGGGTCGCGACCCACAGGTTGAGAACCGCCGCCCTAGAGTGTGGTCACTGCCATACTCCAGGCTCTTGGGCAACATCCCCTTTAAAGTGGGCCTGTCCCTATCTGAGGGTCTGATCAGTCCCTCCGTTAACCTCCAAGAAGAGCATTTCTAGAAGGCATCACACCCCCTACATAGGCTTATTCTTACCCTGGGGAGGACTTGCAGCAACTCTAACAGCCAAGAAGTCCACCAGCAGTAACAAGTTGTAGCAAGCATGCTACTAACCTTGGTGACAACAGAGATTCCTGGCTACAAACACATTTTTGCACATCTCCCACCCCAAGGACATGTTCTTGCCCCAGTACTTCCCCTTCAGAATGTTTGCTTGAACAAGTACCTCAAGGAAGCCACCAGCTCCAGGGGGCATCTGATTGCAGAGAGAGAACGCCAAGGACCGTGTCTTCCCTCTGCTGGCCCAGTCATTTCTGCACGAACAAGTTCAAATTCTCCCTATGGGTAGCTACACATCTAGGCACTCCTAAGTATTCAGACACACTAACCCTCCTCCATTAACTGACTTAACAGAAACCACCTTTCACTTCAGATTTACAGCTTAACAATTCTTTCCAAAGCAGATATAAGCAGCTGGCCAAGCCGGCAGACCACTGGCCAGCGGCCTCCCCACCCCCAACTAATTCTAATTCCTTTACTTAACCAGCAGGTGTTAAAAAAAAAAATCCAAGATTCAGGGGCCCACAATATTCACCGATTCCAAAGTTCTTAATTGCTGAACTCAAAATCCAAATTCCCATTCGCCTCTCATAAACACTAAGTCCTCTCTTGACCGTGCCTGCACTTTGCTTTCTCCGCTCTGTTGGTCCTGGAAGAGCCTCAATTCAACTAAAGTCGCGGGGGGCGGGGGCGCTTTGGTGAGTTTATTTTTCGGTAGCACAGATCAAGAATGCAGCCCCACTGCGATTAAGTCGACTAAGCTCCCAAACACCCTTCTCTCCAACCTAAACAGTTTGATCATGTGGGAACCAAACACTATCTAAGAAAGGAAAAAAAAAAAAAAGGAGAAGCTGAGAGTGCCGGTCTCCGCTTTCTCCTGGGAGGCGCCCGGCTAATGCTGTGCTGGAAGGGGGCTGTCACTTCCAAACCTGGCTTGCAAAGCGCCAGCCCAGATCGGACATGTTGCTTTCACCCCTCGGCTGCGCCTGCCCACTGCAGGCGCCCAAAGGGTCTCGGGTGCCGCCGGGCGCTTTGGGGCCTGGGCTGGGGGCATGGCTGGGGGTGGCGAGCACACCATTCGGGGGGGGCTTGTTTTCTCTGCAGATATGGCCCCTCGAGCAGGTGCTGGGTTAGTCCCATCATTGGGGGAGGGGGGAGGATGTTAAAGTATCTCGTGCAGGAGCACCCGCCCCGCAGGGAAAGCCACACGGGACGCGATGGAAAGTGACTTTCCAACTTCTGCGGGGCTCGCGAGCCTGCAGGGGGACGGGGAGCTCCGTAAGTTTGGAAAAGGCCTGGATCTTCCTGGAGCAACACTCCCGGTAACCCCACTGCAGCAGTGCAGCGACCCTACAGCCCAAGTCACCCCGCCCCAACAACACACACGTGAAGCTCAGCGAAGCGTGCCACCTGCCGGGTTCCCAGCAAACATGCCCGGAGGGAAGGACCACCGGAAAGTAGGCGTTTAAAAAAGAAAAGAAAAGAAAAGAAAAGAAAAAGAGTAATACTCTCGGGGCAGAGAACAGACCCGCCTGGCACCGGGGCCGCGGTGCGCAGGAGTCGGCCCTCGGGGTCTCCTCCTGCCCCGGCTGCCTGTGGGGAGGCCCAGCTCCAGGCGGAGC